GACTGTTATTGGGAGTATGAAACGCTTTCAATACAGCGTAAATGAAGCCGGACTGCGTAGCTAAAACCAGTATGAATCGCTTGCTTAAACCCGACTTCCACACGAAACCAGATATTTTCTTAAACTACATATTTTTACTCGAATCGAATCGGCCTTTCATCTACACGAAACCACCAGTGAAACTGCATCTCTTTGCAACCGTTCTCCAGATTGGTTTAAGACCTGGTCCACATAAATACGAATAAACAAAATGCGATTGCAAAAATGCCCAGATTCGTGTAAACAGGACCTTATGGTGCGTTTCTTTACTAAAATCCGTTCTATGATAAGATAAAAAAAAATCCGGATCATTAGGACCGGATTTTTCGTTAAGAAAAGGAACGATGTTGACTAAAAAGGATTATTTTCATTCATGTCCATATAAACGACCCACAATATCAAAGTTATCGTAGACTGGCTGCTGACAGTGTTGCAAGTTTGCTGATCTTTCATTGTATTCTGGGCGATTAGCTTAAGGCACTGCTTAATTTATATTAGACGGGCAAGAGAGAATGAGCTCATTATCTCTTGAGACGGGCCAAATGATATGTGCTGGAAAAGTACATTCTGGCTTGCAAGACGTGCCGGCGACGTTGTGTAGCAATTTTGTCCTTGTGAACTAGAGCAATGCGGGTCCTGTTTGTATTACAATTTTACCATCTTGATAAGACGGACCAAGCCGATCGCTTAATCCACGCCTCGGGTATAAAATGGCCGTAAAGATGAGCGGTGTAGTCAAACAGCTGATGTATGTATTGAAAATGTTTCGAGTCACCGCTGCCAGCCGGGCAATGTTCACTCATTTCGGATCCATAGACGTAAAAAAGCGCTTCTGATCATGTATCCAAAGTATCCGGATTTGGTTATGATCCAAGGAATCCTCCAGGCCATTGTGGATTATTCGGATAAATAATCCATTTTTGTATTTTAGCAGAGAAATGAAATGTCCTTTTTTCAGATTAATACTCCGGATTTAGTAGAGAAACGCACCCTGATTAGTCAACGGATTCGTTCAAGTACTGCCGGTAAGAAATACCGCATTGTCGGTCAAACCACGAGAGGATGGGTGCCGACTATACCCCTTCCAAGAGCCCCTTGCACCCTGCCTCTCCCCATTTCCCTTCTGCGGGCTCGTTGTGAATTCGCTGCTGTCCAGGAAAGTCATCAGCTACACACGTACATTAGGACGTGTGACGCTAAACATTATCAGTGATTAGTGTAGAAGGTGTTTTTAAGTAAAAAACGAACCAAAAAATAGAGCTTTTGTCCAGCTAGATATACCACCAGTCATGCAGAGAAATCAAATTTCAAAGATAAAGTGTTTCAACAAGCTCACCCCACCCCTAACCCCTCTCCGAGACGAAACGGGGAGTATGATCGCACTCAGGTACACGCGTATCTAATACCAGGCAACCAGAACTGTCAAAAGAAAAAAAACAAAACAAAACAAATTAAAAACGTATAACGACAACTGATTGTTTGTAAATGATAGGAATGGACAGGAGACTGCCCGCCGTGGAAGACTCAGTGTGGAATGAGTTTCTCTTACTGTAAACACATTTGCATGATATGCTTGATTTTGTAGCCTGTCAGTGAAAATAAAAGAAAAGTACTGTATGAATAAGATAATTTTATTATGACGGGTATATATTTTTTCGCAGCGAACCAGTTCCGTATTCTCCAATAAGATTGCGTGACCAGCGTCATACATGTTGGTATCAGTTCATGTCTGAGTTCATGTGTAAACAACAGAAAACGGATTTGAATCTACGATCCTCTCTTCCAATGCAATTGCCGTTTCTAAGTTAATGGACTATTCTATCCACCCTGGTTACTTTTATGAACTAAATTAATCTTTTCCCTTTGCTGAATTTCCAGAATAACAATGCGTTCACATCGACCGATTAACAAGGGAAAGGAATATTGTATAAATTATTTAACTAACGAAAATGTGACCTTTCGAACATTTTAAACTTGATTGGATGGAGAGCCAAAATATCGACGGCTTGAAGGTTTTCTATTCATAACTATGCTGTTTCATTGTGTTAAAAGTCGCAAAAACTTAATACATGTAATGAATAACTGTGTTAGTGAGGCTTTGCAATAAGGTCGCCTTTCGTGTATTGTAAACAGTCATAACAGAAAATAGGCATATTTCGTCTATCGGCTGTGCTCATAAATCGCTGAAATGACAATATGTTTTTATGTTTTCCTGTTTTTGAACATTCATTTCATTGATCTAAATTGATATTTCGTTAAGAAGAAGTGGGGATTTTGCTCAGTGCCAGGATAAAAGTAGGCATTTTTGAGCCCTTTCCCACCTACGGCAAAGTGGGTGTAAATCGAAAATATTTATTAAATATGAGTTGCTTTTGAAGTTTCAAAATTGTGTGCTTTACATCTTTTAAGGACCAATTTAAACCTGGGAAGTGAAAAAAATCATTGAAGGTGAAAAACTTTGAAGTGGTAAACTCGGCAATATGCTCTATTTTTACGCTTCTCCACTGCAAAAAATTGGCCGCCGGGCGCTGAAGTGATTTTCGTCCCGAAAAATCTTATTTTGAAATATTTCCAAAAACTAATGCCGTTTCAATTACTTTTGGACCAATATATATTCATGGGCAAAGTTTAAAGGAAACTGATTTTCCGACGCGAAACGCAGTGGACCGGTTTTAGGGAGACTCTCTCTTAAGCTTCTGTATGAGGTACAATAATATTAATACACTTGAGCTATTTCATACAAGGAAAGCTGAATATGCTGTTCATAAAATTTTGATACTTGAACTATGACTGTATTGTCCTGTTTCGATGCACAAGTAGTCACGAATACGATATCCAGCGCACCTTTTTTCAGCAAATCTTCGAAGGACTGAACGTCAAATACAATTATTATGCATAATTACGACACCCTCCCCCATTTGTCTCGCGAGAGCAAATGTTCATCTTAACCGCAAATTAGTCAAACGAAAGAAAAATCAACTTAATGTCAATCATTTACTAATCATCTGTTGCAATGTCCTCTATACGAAGTCTCTTTGTGGCCTTACAACCTCTGTATCCACTGAGCCTGATGTGGTCGTCTCCACTATGCTGTCACAGCTCAGCTCGAGGGGGTACAAGTGTTGTAAAAGGCGTTCCAAGCTTGACTTGCTGGATCGCAGCTTGGCCCCACGTACTACGCCATCACGGCCAGTGGTTAAGTCGTCAACGACTCCCAGTTTCCATTGAGCGAGGTTCTTCCCGTCTGATCTGATGATCACCACATCTCCCTTTGATGAGTAACTTGAATTTCCCTTGTGCTTTAGGCGGTGCCTCTTCCTGCGCCCATGCAGGTATTCTCTTGTCGAGCGCGACCACATGGCATCCTTACACTTGCCCAAATACTTAGGCCGCTTCCAAAGGTCAGTTTCTTGGGTGTGGTGAGGTTCTAGCTCTGGTAACATGTTCAGTTGGCCATACAGGAAAGAACTAGGGGTAAGGATTGGTCGCTGAATGTCGTCGTCACACCGTAATTTTTAGGGAGTTATTATAACTCCAAAAATGGAGTAAAAATTTTAGGTACAGGATAACCCCTTTTTTGGGGTTATTTTAACTCCTAATTTAACTCCGAATTTGGGGTCATTTTTACTCCTGAAAAAGAGTTCTTTTTACTCCCAGTCTTGGAGTTAAAATTACTCCGAAATGGGGTTACTTGTACTCCTTACAGGGATTGTTTTTACTCTTTTTGGAGTTAATTTAACTCTGAAAGTGGAGTAAAAATTTTAGGTACAGGATAACTCCTTTTTTGGGGTTATTTTAACTCCTCAATATCTGGGGTCACTTTTACTCCTGAAAAAGAGTTCTTTAAACTCCTTTTTGGAGTTAAAATAACTCCACGAAAAATAACTCCACTGTCAGGAGTTAAATTAGCCCCACTAGAGGAGTTATTATAACTCCCTGAAAATTACAGTGCAACATAACTCAGTGGTCTGTTGTTGAGAGCTACTTCTATGTGCAGCATTAACCTGAGATCAGGCCCAATTTGAGCGGTTCTTATACATTCTCTCTAACGGCTACCGCTGAAATTGGGCCTGATACAAACTCATTCACGTTTGTGCTCGTTACGGCCAGATTTTGGCCGTAACCCTGATTGGCTGTTAGAACAATGCCACAAGATCTGATTGGCTGTCGGAAACGCCGGAAGTTGAAAGCTCTTATTCCTCGCGTGGTTGTTTTCGTGAATGATCCGTCGTCGGCGAAGAGAAGGGTCGATTTTGCTGTCTTTTTTATTGTTTTATGGTCTTATGGTAGGAAAATATGCCTTAATATGTGCCATGGAAATTCAGAAAATTCATATGGTTGTTCATATCTTCTCAGGATTTGCTTTATTTAAGGAAAGTGAGTGTATCGTGGAGTTGAATCCCTCTGCAAGTTGTTGACTGCTAACAGGGTGCCTTTTTTTTTACCAACAAACGGGTGTAAATCAAAATACTGTCCATCTTAAAACTGGTTTCATTTGAAAGTTTAGCCGGGAATGACTCCTCTGAACGGGGTACGCAAGCGAAGGCTCACTGCGAAAGAAACCTCAATCGCCAACTGTGAAGTATTAGACGAAAAATATCGCACCGCTGTTCAAGGAATTATCAGTGTTAACAGACTGGTTGTTTGCCGTCGCTTTTTGAAAAAATAAACCAGGAAAACTGGTGTCCTCGCTCGTTGGCTGTTTGCTTTTGCTTTTAAAGATTGTACTGAAAATCGGGGGAAATTGCCGAGGAAAATATTCAGGCAACGAAAAAATAGAAATTTCAGTATTTTAAATTCGAGCGCGCCTAGCCAAAAATAATAAAACTAGTAGAACATCGTGTGGCCGTCTTTTCGAAAACTTTTTACCTTCTACGCCAGAGGAAATAACCTTCGAGATCCCCCTTAATCTCGCAAGAAGTTAAATGTGATTGTGCTGACTGTTTATTTTTAGCTGAAAA